TGGAGACCCATACACAATATGTCGGATAGGATTGTATTACAGAATGATCTTAGCTCATTGATGGCATGGTTAGACAGGTGGTCACTTAAAGTACATCCTAATAAGAGTGTGGTGATGCAAATAAATAACAATGATGAATCGTATCACTATACAGTATGTGGATTTATACTACCCAAAGCAAGAAACTACAAAGATTTGGGAGTCATATTAAATAGTGATCTCAAAACCACTAGTCACTGTAAGGCTGATGCTGAGAAAGGCTATACGGTATTATGGTCTGTTCGTAGGTCTTTTCAGTATTTAGATGATGAAATGTTTAGATTACTATACCCTATTTATGTGCGACCACATTTAGAATATGGACTTCAAGCAGCAAGTTCTTGTTTCAAGTATGAAGTAGATATGCTGGAAAGAGTCCAACTTCGAGGTACTAAGATGGTACAATGTCTATCTGGTCTATCTTACGAAGACAGACTGAGGCACCTCAACTTATTTCCGTTATCTTACCGTAGAATGCGGGGTGATCTAATATTGGCTTATCGTATACTGAACGATGAACTTGGTAACAACATGTCTTATCTTTTACTTCTGTCTAGGACTGATCATTTGAGAGGATATTCGAAAAAAGTTCAAAAACCGGGATCAAATAGTTTACGTCTGGAGTTTCGTTTCTCGCACCGAGTAGTGAATTACTCGAATTCTGAACTGGAACACGTAATATCAGCACCTTCTTTTGATATGTTCAAAAAGAGATTGGACCTCCACGGTATTACAAACTGAAAGGATTAATATAGGTCGATAGACCTCCTATCCTTATTACTGATGACTGAAGACTGAAAGTATTAAGTCTGCGACATGTTCAGCACATAAACATGAAGAGGATCTGTTCATGATTGAAAGTTATTGAGAGTCCTATTCAGTATAGCAATGAAATAATGTATTCTCGCAACAGAATATAGAAAAATCCCGTTAGATCACAGAGAACTAAAAAGCTCATATAAAAACTACGTGGAATTCACCACCTGTAGGGATATGTACGAAACGTGGGCTTTCAAAAGCTTTACTATATGCAGTGTTATTCCATCATATCTGTAACTATGAATTAACGTTTTTTCCTCCTGAAAGATCTAAGAGACTAAAACAAGCGGGGTATATCTCTATGATCAAAGGCCTTATCGTTTATTTAAAATGCAGATTTCAAAAGACATGTGGTTCGTTATATCTGTTACTCAAAGTTTGATGTTTGACAGGCTTATTATGATGACATCGGATTGGAAGGTATCAAATTAAGGAGTTTTATAAAGGACAGTCAATACAGGTCCACTCCTCTACCTGACCTTCACCAATGACCTTTTAGATCAAATTAGCTCAATTTCATCAATATACACGGACGATGTGAAGATCTAGATGTACATAAAAAGCAAAAAGGACTCACTTGATCTTCAAAAGGACCTCGCAACAATGGAGGAATAGGCAGTAGACAACGGGTTAAAACTTAACATTTTATGTCATGAACATTCAGCCCTATGGGACACAAACAACCCACGTTCTCCACGGAAATTTGCTCCCAACTGTCTCCTCGAAGCTTGATCTAGGACTAGAGTAAATACAGATCTCGGATATTATACAGTCCGGTTATCTCACATTGTCTACATTACTTATTGGATATTGGTCTAGCCCCTCTAATTTTAAACTCTTGTTCTTGGCGCGTTCAAGAGGTTCTTAATGTTAGTCATTGTAAAGTGTTATTGTATAGCTGCACATTATTGTTTTTGCTCTGCAAATTATGGATTGTATATAGAAATGTCTCATCGTTTTTTGAAATAGCTAACGAACACGGCTAGTTTTTTGTAAGATTATCTCCATATACATATGTATGTGGAGGTATTTTAGTTGTTACTGTATCTGAGCTTTCATAAAGACGAGGAAATTAGACAAAATAACAGCAAATAATTAGTAAACAGTAAAAAACAATAAGTGTCTCAAGCTAGTCAAACTCCGGCGTCTTTTTTCACGTTCAACTTCCGTTCCATTTGATTTACCTTATACTATTGTAATGTTTTTTATTCTAGACCTCACTAGATTCTTATGATAAGTATTTATTACTCCTTGTTCTGCTAACTTCATGTTACAGAGTAGGTCCTTTCCTACAAAGATAATTCATTTTGACAAACGGTGATTCCCAATGGGATTGTTAAGGAACAATAGGTGACATAATTTTTATTTGCAAAATTCACCAAAGAGGAATAGAAGTAAAAGTAACAAGTTAATTATGTATTAACTTGTTTGGTCTGTATCATTATCTCTAGAATAAACTTTTTTGAGTACTCAATCAAACGTGTCGAAGTTACCAGATTGATAAATATGTTTAGGAAAATATTCCTGTAAATTTTATTTTGAATCCCTCACATAACTAAATATATATGTAGATCTGGCATAATCTTTATTGAATCAAAAAAGGAGTTGAAAATCAGGTGATCAGGATTTGATCGATATTTAACTAAATCAGTGCGCATAAGTGAGTGTTATTATTGTTGACAGGTTTCGTACTTGTGTTGATTCTTTCCGTTTTTCATTCGCATTGTGGAAGTAAGACATAACTGATCTCATTGCACATTCCAATTAGCCTCTCTAATAGTCGACTCGATAATATGAAGTTAAAATGTATAATTGAGTTGTGATCAGTAAAAGCTTAAATTATACTGAGAACGATTTTAAAAAATTAAACTTTGATATATCTAGGTCAATGTTAATTCAAAGTCTAGTGTACCATTCTGAAATATTCGTATATGTTGCTTGATAGGTAACCAGTTTCGTTTTAATTTTGGGATTAGCTTTGATTCCCTCACGAGCTAAATAGTCCTAAGCCTATAAATAGCGTGAATAAAAAACATCACTTTTATAAAAACGTCCTTACCATATGTCCTGGTACAACCGTGGTTGGGAAGTGTTAGCTCTTTCTCGAAATACTCTCACATGGCCCTACGTATACATCCACTCTCAGGGAAGTCTTACTCTCTGCCTTCTCGCAGCACAGGTGTTGTTTACGAAATTGAGAGAACGAAAAGCAAATGTCTGACGCTTTGATCGGGTTGGTGGACACGAAGGGTTCATCTAATAGGGTTGGAAAATCCCCATTCCAAACCGGTCGTGTATATGGGCTCCAGAATCCTGAAGGGACAAATGGCGTATGAACCAATTATTGTCCACCGGCTACCATGGGTCTGCATCTTCTCACATTGCTCCACTGCCTTGTGGATCGGATCTTTAGGTCGAAGGCTCCGGGTGTGGCCCCCTAAGAAAACCACGCGGTTCGGTCTGGGAACCCTGGCAGTATTACAGCCCACACACAAATCAAGTGACGTGTGGCGCATATGTATTCGGTGCCTCTTTGTACCAATATGTTCAAATAAATAAATAAATAATATTCATTGTCTAGGTTATAAACGTGCAGCTGTATGAGAGCACTTTAGGAAGGAAAGAAGGGACTCATTCCCTTAGTTGTATTAGTCATATGTGAAAAGGAGGAATTTTAGTGTGTTTATTGGAAGATAGCTAGTCCTGGACAAGAAGTGTCATGTTTACTAACTGCTGCTAGTGTATCGCTCTTATAACGCAAATTTCTGTCTACAGATGCAGCTACGTTTGGACCAGTTCATCCTACAAAGTAGTCAACAATTTTGATGAACAGAGTATCACTTGATTATAAGTATTTGATGGTATGTGTCTTCAAAGTATCGCTTGTGTATTTTTGGACCATCAAGTTAGCGACCCCGAGGTTAGATATGTGATAGATAGATATAACAGAATGATTAATGTAGTGGTAAATCTTCAATTGAAGTAGTCGAGATATGCGTTACTGATCCCTAACCACAGTCTACCTCAAGTGGCGATGTGTAATGTAGTAGTTTGGAAAGAAGTTAGAGGCATTGTACAGTTCGTAGGGTAACTGACAGTTGGGCCAAGCCATGTTAATAAGCGGAAACTAACTATCTGTTTGGAGTCCGCGTGATTATCTTAACCAATAGTTAGAGACTTTTGGTGATACGGCTTACAACGGTTCACACTGATGTCTTGCTTTACAGCCTGAGATATGAAATCTTTTCTACTTTACTACTGATACCGTCAGCAGTTCTGTTACTCAGGGATTTATTTTAACATATACATATTGGTACAAAGAGGCACCAAATACATATGCGCCACACAGATCTCATTTGATATGTGTGAGGGCTGTGATACTGCCCGGGTGCTCTGATTACTGAACATCTAAAGTTTGTACAATATATGAGTTTATGACGTTTGTTCAAGTCTTTTTTCTAATATGGCATGGCTATTTGAACTGATGACGTATGTATCAGGTTCTTTGTTGTGTATGGCTGTCTGAATTATCCTTCAAATAATTAAAGAATGTTTTTTTTTCTAACCATTCATTATCCTTATTATTTGAAGAAATCTTTTGTCAGGAATTGATGTTATCCGGAGAAACACTGAGAAAACAAAATAGAGAACCATTAAACTATCCATTCATCCTCATTTCAGACTCTTCAACCCTACGCACCTATGACTTTGTAAGAAATCTAACCAAAAGAAATGCCCCCAAATGCCCTGGTATGGCCGAGAGTGGGGAGAGTCCTCTTTCCCTCTCGAAATGCTCTCACATGGCCACGCGTATACAGCCTCTGCCAGGGAAGTCCTACTCACTGCCTTCTCGTGGCATTACTGTTGTTTACGAAAATGAGAGAACAAAAAGCGAATGTCCGGCGCTATAACCGGATCCCAAACCAATGGTGCACATGAGCAAGCTCCAGTATCCTGAAAGAATAAATGGCGTATGAACCAATTGTTGGTCACCAGCTACCATGGGACTGCATCTCTTTACGATGCTCCACTGCCTTGTGGATCAGATCTTCAGGTCGAAGGCTCGGTGTGTGGCCCCCTAAGAAAACCACGTGGTTTGGTTTGGGCATCCGGGTAGTATCACAGCCCTCACACATATCAAATGAGATCTGTGTGGCGCATATGTATTTGGTACCTCCTTGTACCGATATCTATGAGTTAAAATAAATAAATAACTAAAAGAAATCAATTCATCAGATAATTGTTAATATTGACTAGTTATTGTGAATTAATGCATATTTGATACATTCATAACCAGTAGATATAAATATAAACTAAAGTAATGATAAGTTCAAAGTAATTGTATATTTCAATGATTTTCTGTTACTTTCTTTATTTTAGTAATAATCTTTACTATTATGTGGTATGAAATTCTTCCAGCACTTTCAATAATAACTGGAATAACATTTGCTATATCACCTTTATTACATGTAACCAACTATGCATTTTTTGGTAGAGTAAGTTTGTACTTTTTTTCAATTATTGTGGGGTTGCTTGTTTTTTCTTTTTTTCTTATTTTATTTAGTGGTCTCCACCTAATTTATTTCAATTTAAACAAGATTTCTATTTACATTTACGTGATAAAGATCTTGAAGGACCACTTTTATTTCAAGTAGGTTATATAAAATCAATTAAATGTATTCTTTAAAAAAAAAATTTTTTTTTCTTTTTTCAAGGATTCAGAGTTTATTTTCAAGGATTAACAAAATTTGTATTTGTTAACTGATAATGTGTAACTTTATGTAGATTTTTAGTAAAAAAAATAAAATAATGATTTACACGGTTTATTTTTGGATTGTCCTATTGTTGGTATTTTTTGACTAAGGTTTCGGTACCTCATTCGAATGACCTTATTTACACATTTAGTCAACGAATTCCAAATAGAAGAAATATGCGTTTTGGACTCTGCCGCTCAGTCAGTCAGTCAGTAACAACGTAGAACTTCGTACGCATGTACATCAGTTCGACTTGCCATACCACATTACTGCCCCCAAATGCCTTGGTACGGCCGAGAGTGGGGAGAGTCGTCTTTCTCTCTCGAAATGCTCTCACATGGCCACGCGTATACAGCCTCTGCCAGGGAAGTCCTACTCACTGCCTTCTCGTGGCGGGGGTGTTGTTTACAAAAAATGAGAGGACGAAAAGCGAATGTCCGGCGCTATAACCGGATCCCAAACCAATCGTGCACATGGGCTTCAGTATCCTGAAGGAACAAATGGCGTATGAACCAACTTTTGGTCATCGGCTTCCATGGGACTGCATCTCCTTACGATGGTCCACTACCTCGTGGATCAGATCTTTAGGTTGAAGGCTCTGAGTGTGGCCCCCTAAGAACACCAACTGCTTCGGTTTGGGCGCCCGGGCAATATCTCAGCCCACACACAAATCAATTGAGATTCGTGTGGCGCATATGTATTAGGTGCCTCCTTGTACCAATACCTATGTGTTAAAATAAATAAGTTGTCGATTCAAATCCCATAGTGATAGAGGTGGTAAGAGTATAAGCAGAAATCGGAAAGACTAGGGTTTGAAGACGTTATTTAAGGAGTATAATCAAGTGAAATAAATTTGGAAAGCGAAAAAAATAGGGGACATGAAGAATTCAGAAGATTAGAATCTGGGAAAACACAAAAAGTGGATGCACCTGCGCCATTGAAAACGATTTTGAACCATGTCATTCAGGGTCTCTAACCATCAGTTGCTATTGTCTGGCGGATCTCAACCAGGTAGTAAGTGTAGACCTACCAACATGGTTCAGTCCACTTGTTAACGGGATTTAAGCATGCTCAATTGCTTTGGCGCACGCTGATTGGCTGATTCTTATCCAATCAGCGCTACTCGATACATGGAGAAGACTCTAGATCCTTCTTATGTAAAAACTATAAACATGCTAACGGTTTTCCTATTGTGCTTCCTGCTTCCATCTAACCTTTTTATTTGGAATATAATCTTCCTGTTCAACCGTGTTCTGATTTGGGGCCTTGTCGAGTGAATTGGTGTCCGTGAATACTAAGCAATAGGAATAACTGGGTTATAACATAAGAGAGAGAACTATAACACCACTTGTCAGTGACTTCATGGATTTGTGCCATGTTTTGGTCTGGCCGCCCCTAGTTTTCTTCCAACCCACACCATAAAACACCTCTCGTCAGGGCCGTCAGTGGTTGGGCATACATAACTTATGTCCCAGCCATCTCAACTGATGAAGTGTCACTACTTCATCAATTGATTTGCCATCCTTACCTAGTACCCGTTTCCTAACAACTGAGTTACTCGATGGTCCCAGGATATACGAGCAATGTTAACTCTGCCGCTGGTCACATTCTATCCGTTCTTTATCGTTTCTTTGTGCAATGTTTTTTAGTTTCGCAGATATTTATCTAACGTCATTACAATGCCAGAAAATGAGAATAATATCACAAAGTTCCGATGTTGTAGCATCAATCTCTTGGATATTGATGAGGACAGTTGTAAATTATTGTGGATAATATTTAATGGGATGTTTGTTAGGTTTAGTACTTGACATGAATCACTATTTCTTTCTTATGGTTTATAATCTACAGTGATTATGTCTTTATTAATAGTTGTAGGGTAAAACACACGTCCTAGGTTCCGCTACAACCCATCTTCTATAAAAGTTATGACAAATTGGCTATATCAAAGTAATCCGCACATATATCAACAAAGTCTTGTCAAAATTCAGTCCTGCATATCAAAAACAAAATAATTCGAACCTTTACCAATGACAGCATACGTATCATATCCACTGAACAAGTTAGCGGTTATCTCAATAGATAACGCGTTGGTCTGAATACATCTGTCTTATGGTGACTAATTTTGAGCCATATCACGTCAATATTTTAAAAACAAAAGATTTTGATAGTTTGCATTCGTGACTGGTGGTGATTTGTTTGTTTATTGTATCAAGCGTCGTACAACTATCATAACCTTATTCAGTTCAATAAATGAATGCAACTGCACTACCGTAAACAAATCTCAATCAGACTTTTGAAGATTTCTAACCAAAGACCATGCATTATCGTCCAGTAGATTTTAACCAAAAAGTATATACTTTCAGACACGCGTCAGTCAATAAGTCATCGAGTGATGTTTATTTGTAAAGTGTATAATTAACAGAGATATGGTTATGTAATCGCCCAATTTTAATACTAAGACCCTGTTGGTTCCTAATGAAACCAATTGTACTAAACCATAACAGAAGCACAAATTCACAATTAATCGATTTATATTTATTATAGACAAAAAATACAGGATTAAAAAAATGCTTTCACAAACTTATTCGCGGTTTCTTCGTTTTCTTGTGCTGTGTGGCTTTTTGATGATGTTCTACAGAGATGAAAAAGAAAACAAAAAAAAAAGAATTGCTTAGTTCTCTATAATGGACTCCGTCAGTAGGGTGGTTAAATAGTGGGCGAATGATAGTATTATTTATTTATTTTATTACATAGATATCGGTACAAGAAGGCACCAAATAAATATGCGCCACACAGATCTCATTTGATATGTGTGAGGGCTGTGATACTGCACGAGTGCCCAAATCGAAGCATATGGTTTTTTAGGGGGCCACACCCCGAGCCTTCGATCTGAAGGTCTGGTCCACAAGGCAGTGGACCATCGTAAGGAGATGCAGTCCCATGGAAGCCGATGACCAAAAGTTGGTTCATACGCCATTTGTTCCTTCAGGATCCTGGAGCCAGCCCATGTGCACCATTGATTTGGAATCTGGTTAAAGCACCGGACATTCGCTTTTCGTCCTCTCATTTTCGTGAACAACACCCCCGCCACGAGAAGGCAGTGAGTAGGATTTCCCTGGGAAAGGCTATATACGCATGGCCATGTGAGAGCATTTCGAGTGAGCGGACACTCCCCACTCTCGGCTGTACCAGGGCACTTAGGGGCAGTGCGCACCCACGACCCCGCCTTGCGGGATTCGAACCCAGAACCTATCAGTCTCGCGCCAGGCGCTTAACCAACTAAACCACTGAGCCCGAATGATATGATAATATGGCTATGCTTCTCTTCGCCTAGTTATAACTGATTAAGCAGTTTAACAATCAAACACTCCATGGATCACAACTTGAGTACATTTAGCAGCGTTACATTGTTGCTAAATAGTTCTGCAATAAAATGTGGCAGATATTCCAATGTTCATCAACATGTGAAATTTTATGATGTGAACCCTATCTTCTAAAACAAAATCGAACGCAAATTTACTCATGTAACTTGAATGTACCAAAGTACAAGTTTTTGGCAATCGGTTATCAGTTACGCTTTAAGTGCAGTGACTAGTTATGGTGTCTGGTGAAATCGCGATAGGAAATTAGAAATCTCGGCATGTTTTTACCAATTTGGGTCACTTGTGGCGTAGGCGAGATAGCTGTCAACCGACCAATGGACGAGTTTACTGTACAGTAATTTATTTTGTCCTACTTTGTGGCTGTGAAACATGACTCTTGGAATTAGAGGATATTGGTAGGTCACTATTGTTCGATCATAGGTGTTTTGCACATTGGAACTACCGAGTTGGGAATACTAAAGTTAAACGCAGAGTACTAGGTAAGGTCAGCCAATTGATGCGTCATTGGTTTGGCAAGTTGCCAAGGTCATGTAAGTGGTGTTTTAATTGGTGATTTAGTCCGGTGATAGTTAACGGGGCAAAAGTCGTAACCGGTAGTGAATTTTTATCGACTAAGATGGTCAGGGCATGTGATACTTATGTCCACCTACCAATTGATGTAAGAGTAGAATGTAAGAAAACTATGACAGCACACTAGTTAGACTAAGTCATTAAGGTAGGTTCAGATTATTTGGTTCGAGTTCGTGTCATTGTCGTAATCAATGGCTGGAGCTTTTAGGTAACGCACCTCAGAATTGTCTGAAATGGTGCGAGCCCATTCAACTTTTGTCTTCCTGTAGATCGTAAGTCTTTAGATTTTTTATACATTTGTTTATTTTTATAATTTGTACTTTCTCGCATCGCACCTTCCATGCATAATCTTTTCTATTACAACTACTACATCTGCTACTGTGGAATTCGCTCTGACTATTTCATCTCGATGTGCTGGTAGCATGTGGCAACTTAAAACAATTGACACATGTGGATGTTCTACGTTGCGTATGACTGACTGAGTCATGATTCATAGTTGCCTAAACTTAAGCAGAGGAATAGGCATTTGAATTGGCTATATTTACTGACTGAAAGCTAATGAATGCTTAAGAGTCCCCGCGATCACTTAATAAACGTTTCATTAGATTAAGGCCAAATAAACCAACCAGTCTGATTATATTCGACTGAACAATTCAAAACATACAAAATAGATTACCTTCATTCGGAGATAATTTTCTTTTTTGCAACCGATTAGATGTGTCATTTTCGTTCTCACTGCAATTATTTATTTCCAAGGGTTGAGATGTTACATCTGGTAGCTTAGATTTCTTTTTCACTGGACCATTCCATGCCATGCCAAGAGCATTACGAGTGGCTTTATGCAAATTACGTCGTTCTCGAATAGCACGAGCGCCTAACGATGCACGACTGCATATAATTTGAATGAGTTGATGATTTCCACCACCAAGTTCTTGTGTAAGAGCAGATTCAGTTGACTCAATTAATTCAACTAATTGATCAGGTCCTACCTTTGCCATTCCAGCTGATACAGAGGCAACAAGACTGTTCGCATTCTCTGGTCTAATTGTACCTGACATGAGTGCACGACGGAGGCGAGCCTTTAAAACAAACGAAAAGAAACAAAAGATCAACTCACAAATTTATAAGATGGTTAGAAAATAGTCTACATCTGAGAATAACATCGGAAAACAGGAAGCACTAGACAGTCTTTTTGCCCTAGTATGGGGATTCAGTGGTGTGCATCCGCGATTTCCTATGAGAGTTGAAACTACAATCTTCAGATATCGAGTCAATTGTGTAACTTTCTTACCACTGAGTCCCTGTGATCCGGAATTTGTGATATCGTATGACAATCAACACCTGTCATCAGTGATGTTTATCTCATTCTCAACATGGTTGAACTAGGATTCTAAGAATTCCCCTTTAAGTTGCTCAATTATGTATATCCTAATGCACATCACACAGTAAACGATACAGAAAATAAAAACCGACCATCCAACCCACCTGTGCTCTTCTTCGTCTTGATTTCGCTCTGACAGTAAGTTCTTTGGAAAGATGCATACCACGTAGTCGCATTCTAGCGCCAATATCTGTTGTATCATCGTTGACAGCTGAAGCTAATGATGAAGCTGCTGTAAAAGCTAATCGTTCACGCTGACGGAATTCTCGACTAATTAATTTCGAAGCAGATCTTAAATAGGCGAAATAAGCTGGAACTTGTTTTTTAACAGATAAATTTTCAACTGATTGATTATTAGAACCACTTGAAGGTTGAGTATTTAGTGAGAACATATCAAATAATTGCGTTGTATTCGGATGGGGTAGACGTAATAAAAGACCGGTAGTCAATTTCAACGCCAGTAGCCTCTGTAAAAAGGGAAACAGGAAGGCCCACGTGAGATTCAAAAGTTTCAAATTAAGTTAAGTGATAAAACAGAAGTCTTAATGCCATTTTGACTGTTAGGTATTATTACATTTACTGGCTTCTATATGACAGATGACAATGTGTAGTGAAAATTCCATGTCTCTATAGTTGTAAGAGTACTGGTGGTAGGTTCGGTGTAACTAATGGAATCAACTTACATATAGTGAAAGTCAGATCAGCTTATATTGGTCTAGATAGTTTTGGTGCTCTTATGGTGTTAGTTTAGCTGTGAAGGGTTCGGTTTACAACAGATCTATGAGAACAATCTGATTCCTCTGAACTGATAATATTTAGTGGTAATAATGATAGTTGCGGCTCAATGACAATTCAGTTATTGTCATTATCCTGAAACACTAAGTTCAGTAACCTAGATATCTGTTATAAATTTATCCCAGCATCTTCCACGTAGTGCATTACTTTTCCATTCTGGTACAGAGAGGAAAGAGAAAAAATAGGCGGGGTCAGTTTATGACATGAAGGAGCGGTATGAAAGAAAGCTGACGCCCATCGACCGATCATCACTTTCTAGTTGAAGTTCTAAAGATTATGTATCGCTCATAACGAATACATGATTAATAATAGTAGTAATAATCTCTCCATTCAATACCACAACAATCACGATCCCGCTCACGAGATTCGGACCCAGGATCTTCAGTCTCGCGTGCGAACGCTTAACCTACTGGACCACTAAGTCAACATCCAATGGTGTTAATGTCTAACCTCAACCAATCCACGAAATTACGCGACCATATCCCATTGTAATAAGTTAGATACCTGTCTCTACCCGACACGAACTAGCTGGACTGGTCATGTGGATTAGTTGATGTTAGACACTAACACCATTGAATGCCGACTCAGTGGTCCAGCAAGTTAAACGTTCGCGCGTAAGACTGAAGGCCCTGGGTTCGAATCCCGCAAACGGGATCGTGGATGCGCACTGCTGAGGAGTCCCACAAAAGGACGGGACGGTCGTCCAGTTCTTCTAGGTTTCCAATGGTGGTCTAACATCAATCAAGAACTTAATAATCTTTAATACTGACCATAACAGTCAATTGGAAACATTCAAAATTTGAAAAGAAAAATAAACTAAACTCAGTAATATTATTAACATACTTGACAATAATATTGTGGTCTATTGTTTAATTCATCCAATGCAATTTTATTAGCAATACGAAATATTCTCAATACTGGTTTACGTCCAACACTTAAATGTAATAATTGTCCAAGATAAATTAAATTAGATAATAACTAAATACAAAAGAAAAATGGAAAAAAAATTTGGGGGGGGGGATGAATTAAAGATAAAAGAGAGAGAAAGAGGGAAAAAACTGTTTTGTTATTTACTATAAATGATTGATAATTATGAACAAGTCAGTTAATCAGTCAGCAACAACGTGGAACTTCATACATACGTACATCAGTTCTAGTTGCTATACCACATTAGCACAAAGATACAATTGTCGATTCAAATCCCATAGTGGTAAAGGTAATGTACTGGGAATATGAGACATGTATCAGTGTTATAGGATTAGTCCAATGTCAACGGAAATAAAAGATAAACACTCAATAATATTAGAACTTGTGGGGGTGGGAAAGCAATGTTAAAACATGAGTTTATTTATTTATTTGTACAAAGAGGCACCAAATACATTTGCGCCATGTAAATCATTCGATTTATGTGAGGGCTGGGATACTGTTCGGGTGCCCAGACCAAACCACGTGACTTTCTTAGGGGGTTACACCCCGAGCCTTCGACCCAAAGGTCTAATCCACAAGAGAGTGGAGCAACGTCAGGAGATGCAAATCCATGGTAGTCGGTGACCAATAATTGGTTCATACTCCATTTGTTTCATTAGGATTCTGGAGCCCATGTGCACCACTGATTTGGAATGAAGGTTTTCCAACTCCGCTAGGTTAATCCACCAACCCGGTTAGATACTCTTTTTTCGTCCTCTCAATTTCGTAAACAACACCCGTGGTGCGAGGAGGCGGTGAGTAGGACTTTCCTGACAGTGGTTGTATACACGTGGCCATGTGAGAGGGAAAGAGTACTATCCGCACCATCGGCCGTATCACGTCATTTGGGAGCTTAGTCAAAATAACACACAGTAAAATTGACTGATTCAACATAGTTGGAAGTAGTTTCTAACTACGCAAAATCAATATTTACAATTCATGTTAATATATTTAAAAAAGCCCTATTAATTGGTATTATTACTATGAGCCGATGACAACAGCTTTTAATTATGTTACTATCATTCTATATATTTGAGAAGGTTCAGTTAGATGAAGAAATTATGATGAATGAAATGTTCTGTTCGAGCTAGATGGTTCGATTATGTAAGTTTTATTATTCATCGAACAATATCATCAGGTTTCAACTTGCCATGGTAAAATATAAGAAAAAACACAACGACTTAATGACGCTTAACATTTTAGAATGTAAAGAGGTAATTTTTAAGGGAATAATCAAATTGGAACTTTACAGTCCATGCTTAATTTGACCAAATGCCCTGGTACGGCCGAGAGTGGGGAGAGTCTGCTCTCCCTCTCGAAATGCTCTCACATGGCCACGCGTATATAGCCTCTGCTAGGGAAGTCCTACTCACTGCCTTCGCATGGCATTACTGTTGTTTACGAAAATGAGAGGACGAAAAGCGAATTTCCGGCGCTTTAACCGGATCCCAAATCAATGGTGCACATGGACTCCAGTATCTTGCGGGAACAAATGGCGTATGAACCAATCGTTGGTCACTGGCTACAATGGGACTGCATCTCCTTACGATGCTCCACTGCCTTGTGGATCAGACATTCAGGTCGAAGGCTCGTGTTGTGGCTACCTAAGAAAACCATCTGCTTTGGTTTGGGCACCCGGGCAGTATCACAGCCCTCACACATATCAATTGAGATTTGTGTGGCGCATATGTATTTGGTGCCTCCTTGTACCAATATCTATGTGTTAAAATAAATAAAAATTATCAGTTAAGACAGTTCTAGAGAAAGGGGCGGAAACTTGGAGAACTAGGAAAGCCATCATCGAGAATAGAAAAGTGTTTATTAAGAGTTGTCTACGCAAAATACTTCGGATCCGTTGGTCAGACACTATCAGCAACAACCTACTGTGAGAGAGAACAAACCAGATTCCAGTGGAGAAAGAAATCAGGGAGAAGTGCTGGAAGTGGATAGAACACACATTGAGGAAAGCACCGAACTGAATCACAAAGCAAGCCTTCATCTGAAATCCTTAATGTTAAAGGAGAATAGGAAGACCAAAGAACATATTACACCGAGAAATAAAGACAGACATGAGAAAAATGAACAAAAATTAGATAGAACTAGAAAGGAAAGCCCAGGATAGAGGGGGCTGCAGAATGCTGGTCGGCGACCTATGCTCCATTGGGACCAACAGGCATAAGTATCTGTTAAATTTAATGGGGAAATATTATCCATTTAAAAATGAATCCATTTAAAGAAAACAAACAAGTAAAATGATGAAAACATCTATCTAAAAAGATAGAAAAATCTTACCGCATTTGACCATTCTTCTGAAATAGGTACACGTGCATCAACTTCTAATTGAAATAATAAACCGGTTAGTATTCTTTGTAACTAAAATTTTTTTAAAAGAGAAAAATTGGCAAAATGAAAACAACACTTGCAACGCAAATGAAGAAAAACAAATCTAGATATGTATATGATGTTAGAGGCATGGTGATGCTCGGTTATATGTTGAGATCCATTTGAATGAAGACCATGATGAGATTAGATGTATGTCACTAGGTAAAGATGACGAATCAGTTAATAAGGTGTTATAGTCCCGACCGTTGTTGCTACCTTGACGTAGTGGTTGGCCTTGGCTATCGTGATGAAGCAACCGAGCTGTCTTGGCTGGAACAACCGTTCCTCAAGGTCCTACCATGTCAGACAGGTCGGTTAAAGAGCGGTAAGACTAAAGGCAACAAACCCAAAGTCCTAAGGCGAAGTCGTTCTGCTGACTGTACAGAGGTGTGACAGCAGTAAGGGGTTCTCTTCAGACAACTAGCATAACAGCGATGCTGCCTTCCCACAAGGAGGGGTGGGGTTAGAAAAGGTCAACCCTGAAATACACACATCGCCTTATTCCACAGATATCCGTATCCGACAGCAAGGTCTCAACAAGGACAGAGCTAACACAAAAATTACTCATAAAAAGGTCGTGTGTGACTGACCTGAAGGAGTTGTCCCTTGGGCACTGAGGTCACACTCTCAGGTCACTAAGACCACCTTAAATCCAATTTCCTTTTCGGATACCTCCAGAAGAACCCTTTCACGGTGTGGGCAACCGGGAATTGATAACCGCCCTCATACCTGTAACAGCACTCAAGACCAATGGTGCAATAGTTGAGATATGTATTACTTATACCTCAAACACATAATACTGACCGGTGTAGGTGTGTGTATGAAGAAAGTTGATGGGAAGTTAAATTAAGATGTAATATTAATACATGTAGTTATTGACCTAGAATTGGTCACAGTTAAGCAGATATACTCACTCTTTATTCCTTGGCATATAATTCATTCACTGGTAACTATTCATTAGAATCTCTTTAGTGAACAAAACTAATTTTATACAGTAAGGAATTAAGTATTAGCATCAGAAGAGGTTTTGTAGATACTATAGTAATTTTAATAGTTTAAATTATGAGTCCATTGAAGCTAGACCACCATGGAAAACTTGGAAGCATTGGACGACTGTTTCGTCCTGGTGTGGAGCTTCTCAGCAGGGCATATCCATGATCCCGCCTCGCGAGATTCAAACCCAGGACCTATCGGTCTGTTAAAAAAATTGAAAAACAATATCCTACTACTACTACTACTACATGTTTAGTGTTAAATAGAAGTCAGATAGTATCAACAAGAAACGATATACAATATCTGTAATCATGAGGAAAACAATGTTCTTTGTTGCATTTGTCAGTACAACAGTAAGGGATGTTAAATTATCGATCATAAAACGAAATGCTTCTCAATAAATTTTATTGGAGACATTACGAACAGATAATATGAAAGTGGTTACTATGATGCGACTGAACCTGCTACCTTGATATGATTAGAGTTATCTGTCATGATGATCCAAATTTTGATCACTCACAGTAAGGTAGTAGTCTCTTGGGCTTTTTAGCAAGATGAACGGAACTACTATCAATCCAGGTTCTAGTTCGAATACTTCAAGTATCTTTTCATACGATATTGGTAACAGGAAAGTGACAATCTTCTATATAACATTAACAGCATTTATGTATCACATATTATTTGATATTCAAATCAATAAAGCATAACATATCACTGTTTTTTTCATTTCAAAATGAATGTGTTTAAAGAAAACAAACTAAATGATGGAAAAATGTTACCACATTTGACCATTCAGCGCATTTCATCCAAATTTCTTGGTACGGCTGAGAGTTGGGACAGCTAACTCTCCCTCTCCGAATGCTCTCACATGGTCAAGTGCATACAATCACTGATAGGGAACCCCTACTCACTGCCTTGTCGTAGCAGGGATGTTGTTTATGAAATTGAGCTAAGGTAGTTGGGAAACCTTGATTCTAAACTAATGATGCACATAGGCTCCAGTATGCTGAAGGAACCAATCATTGGTTTCTACCTACCATATGATTGCACATCTCCTTAAGTTACTCCATTACCTTATGGATTACACTTTTAGATCAAAGGTTCCGGGTGTGACCCATCTCCCCGCCTCAAAGCCGTATCCTAGGCTTCACATACATCAAATTGATCTATGTTTAAATAATAATAATAATAATATCATTCATAATGAATCAATTCACTTACTACTTTATTGAAATTTGTTTTATTTTTTTGTAATTTTTTAAATATTGCTGATCGAACATTGAAACCAGATAATTCAGTATCTACGACTGTATTCTCATTACTTTCTTTTAAAAAACGATCTTGATTTGTAATGATTTCTAATTTTAATAATAAATTTAAACAACGTGTTGCCCATTCACGTGTTTCACGATGACCTACTATTAATAAACTCATTTTTTTAGTTTTATTTTCTATATTCTTTGTTGTTGTTGTCGTGGTGGTGTTGGTGCTGGTGCTGGTGTTGGTAGTGGTGGGGTTGATGGCGGTTGTTTCCATAGAGAATAATGTACTATATCGTTCACGACGTTTATTCAATTCATCATGATACTTTTTTGATTGAAATTCAGTAATTGGACATAATTGATTCATATGATTATATTTAGGTCCATTTAATAGAATACGCCAAAATGGGGATAATTTAATTGAAGATATATATGTATTGATATTGTTATCGGATGTATTCGTTGAATCGTTGGTTGATTCAGTAATTAGTTGATAAGTTAATTTTAAAGCATGTTCTAATGTATGAGCAACTAAGAAGTATTGATTATCAATAGCCTTTGTATAAAAAACAACAACAGAGAAATAAGATAAGATGGAAGAGATAAACATTTAAGAAAGGATATATTAAATAATACTACTTTTAGTATAATTGGGCTATCCGCTAGACGATAGCAACCAATGGTTACAGACGTTGAATATGACACGGCTCAAAATCATTTACAGTGTCGCACGTACATCCACTCTTTGTGTACTCCCAAATTCTCCTCGTCCCTTTTCTCTCTTTCCAAATTTATTTCACTGGATTATACTCTTTGAATAACATCTTCAAGCTCTAATCTTTCCGATTACTGCTTATACTCTTACTACCTCTAACAACTGCATCTCTGTGCTCATGTGGTATAGCGACTTGAACTGTACGAACCAATCAGATTCAGGATGACAAGTCTCAGATTTTGGCGTGAAATTTGATCACCCAATTGTCTAACTAGCGCGTCCTGGTATTTTATCTGATGTCTTTTCGTGGTCAAAATCATAAATCTAATTCTTAACCCTAACGATCAATTGTAAAAAATAATCGTTACTCTTTATACATTGCTAAATAATCATCATTTAAACCTAGTAAGTAGGTGGACATTCCCAAAGTCACTTTACAGTCCCTCAAAGGTTGTCCATAAATTATAGTGTCGTCCGCAACAACAGCCAAGTGATCATATTCTGGTGATACTAACATGATATAGATTGTTCCGCACAAACGTATGTTATAACACACTGATTGGAGCATTCTTAGCCAATCAGAACAAGCGGAGAGACTAGGAGGCCCTAGAAGAATTATTAATGTAAGCGAGACTATCATTTATAAACGAACCAATCATATATAAGATAATAAGGTCACGGATTTTGGTGCGAAATTCACTCATCCATATGGGTAAATAGAGTTTTGGCATTATAGCTGATGTCAGTTCATGATGAAAAGTGTAAATATAATTACTAACTGTAAATTATAATTCTAATTTCTCACACCGGTTTATGACTTTCATTTGGTCGTGGTTATATAACATGGACACTCTGAAGGTCAGTCTAGACTCGTTCAAAGGTTGTCCATAAGTTATACTTACACCTTAAAGTGCAGATACAGATGAAACGTTTGTTTAACTAAGATGAATTTGCTATGTAAATAGTAAATTTACTTATTTCAATAGAATGACAATCAATAAGATGAAATTTTCCTTTGAATTACTTACCGATTTTGAACATTTAAGTTGTTTGGTAGATGATGTTGATTGAGATTGTATAGTATCATTAGTATGTTTATTATTTTCAATATTTTCATTTAATGTATCAGAAGTAAACGGATCAAGATTTGTATCTTCATCATAATCTAAATCGACATTGTCACCTACATCATCATTATCATCATCATCATTGAAATCTATATCCTCTTCTTCTTCATCATCATCATCATCTTTTGACAATTTTGAAGCGTTGTCCTTCTCCTCCTCCTCCTCCTCCTCATCATCATCATCATCATCATGATCATCCTCTTGTGAATAAGCATTTTTAGGCAATTCTATTTCACTCATCCATTTAGCATCCTCTTTTATAATATTTGATAATATATATTCTTCTTTTGGTGTTTTCATAGATTTTTTATGATAGAATTCATCAAGACCAGTTGATATCATTAATATAGGATTAGTTTGTATTAATCTATTTAATTGTATCATTCCACATGGTAATATATCATTACTAATAATATCAATAAATTGATTACGATATTGTTTAATCAATAATAATAATAATTGATTATTATTATTATTATTATTATTATTATTATTATTATTATTATATAATAATAATGATGTAATAATTTGTAAACCAAGTAATCTTGCTGAACATCTTGTTATAGGTGGAGCTGTTAAAAATCCTATAATATAATCATTAATATATTTTTGTATTAAATCTATAGGTAATTTATAAAAGAATAAAGATAAAAAATTCAGAAATATTTTACGTATTCTTTTAGATGATTCTCGTTCAATAGTTACACAAATATTTAAAAAAATTAATTCATCTAAATAATCATTAGTTTTACCAATAAAATAATCAATTGGTAATTGATCAATAAGACGTGATAATAAATCAATAACGGATAATTGACCAGTTAATTGATGATATTCTAATTGTTTAATATAAAATGTAATAAATTTTTTTAAAAATTTTAATTGATGTGGATAATTTAATAAATAAGTTATTAAACAATTACATGATTCTAAACGAATTTTTTCTGATAATGATGTAATACTTAATAATTGTAATCGATAAAATAAATTCAATAGACGTTTACCACCACCAGCACCAATTTTATAATCATAATCATCATCAGTTAATTTAGCTATGGTTAATTGATTAGAAATAGATAATTGATTATTGAATTCAACAGCTTGATTAACATCAATGATATTGATTGTTTGAATAATAGGATCACGTAAACGACGTTTTAATATAGCATTCAATAATAATAATATAGATGGATTCATCAATTCATTAGATTGATTTAATTCTATATCAACTATATTTAATAATGTTAATAATTGTTTTCTATTTAATGAATAATTATATTGATGATGTACTAATGATGCTAATGTTGTATATAAATTTTTATTAAAATTTTCTACATAGCAACTATTTGATTTAGATTGATTTAATAATAAATAGGATTGATTTGATAATAAATGAAATAATTGATTACCAATAATATTAATATAATCAATTAATTTTGGTATTTGATCGATGAATAATTTTGATGATGTAATCAATAATAATAAACGTATACATTTAATTGTAATACTTATTACTTGAATATATTTTGATTGTAAACAATCAATAATTGATGGTAGAAATTGATTGATTATTAATTGTATATGATCTAATTGATCTTGTTTTAACCATTGATAACGTATTATACCAATAAATAAATATAAACCACAACAAACTAATAAATAAGATTGTTTTAAATTAGTTTGTATTATAGGCAATGAATTGAATTGATATTTTGGTTCATGATCTAATTCTAAATAATTCCAACGTGGTTCTAATAATTTTGATTTTGGTTGATACCAACCTGTAATAATAGAATTATTATGTTGTGAAACATCTTGATCCTGATCCTGATCGTCATGATTGATTATTGTTGTTGTTGTTGTTGTTGTCTGAGGAGTTGTTTCATTTAAATCTATATGAGATATTTTAATATCTTGAAGATTATCTGTAACAAGTTGTTGAAATAATTCAATAATCAGATTTAAATTAGATTGAAGATATTTATTAGAGAATAATCCAGTTTTCATTGGAAGACGTGTTAATGTACATTCTAATCTAGCTAATGCTTTATGTCGAAATCGTACACCACAACCAATAGAATCATTCGATGATGATGATGATGATTTATTATTATTAGTATTATTCAATATGGATCCAATTGAAGTACCAGATACAGCACAATGAAGTGCCATTTTAATATTTGTAAATAAATATATAATACCTTCATTTGATAATAATCTACATAAACGTGTAACACCTTCAGGAGATTTTAATCCATTTGCTTCAGGTAAATCATTTTGAATAGTTCCATTTAAATTATTTATTGATAATTCTTTTATATTTGTATTTAATGTTAATTTTGCTGAACGTCTTGAATCAATTTCTTCAGCTAATCGTCCAATCATTTCATCTATATAAAGTCGAATCATAATACGACCAATATAATCTAATTGACCAGATTTATAAGATACTTCACCGGATATTATAGCTTGTTCTACTTCACTTAATATACGATGTAATGTATATAATCTTACTTGCCAATAGGTATAACCACCACGTTCTAATTGTTGATCAATAATTTCAAATAATTGATTTAATCCTTTACTTGGACCTAATAATCTTCCAATACGACATAATGATTTTATTGCTTCATAACGTATTTCAACAGGAATATCACGTGATGGTCGTAATACATCCATAATACGTAAAATAAGATGAGGTAAACGTGATTCTAAATAACCTGATGGTAAACGTCTTAGTAACATAACTAATGATATAACTAATGAAATTTTCAATGGTTGATGATTATTATTATTATTATTATCGTTTTTTTGTTGATTTATTAATTCACATTTATTTGTTTTTATTGGTTTCACTATAAATGGTTCTAAACGTTTAATCACATTAAGCATATAATTAAGAATTATTAAATTCTCCCCCTGTTCAGAAGGAATCTTTTGTTCTATATATAAATAATCATTATTATCTTGTTTCTTTTCTTGGTTGTTATTGTTGTCGTCGTCGTCAATTTGTTCTTTATCATCAACATCATCGTTCTTGTTGTTGTTGTTGTCATCTTCGTCTTTGTCAATATTATTATTATTATTATTATTATTATTATTATTATTATTATTCATTAAATTCGTATTCCAATTTGGTGGTTGAAATGCATCAATTAAACGTATCATAATTTGTGATAATAAATTTATATTCATACATGAATTTAATCGTTGAATAATTGATTCTATTAAAAATCGATAATATTTCCAATCAAATTGTTTAGCTATACCTTCTATAGCATCTAAACAATAATCAATTAATTTTTTATGATTTTCTTGTAAATTTATATTATTATAATCTATTGATGAATTTAATTCTGTTTCTAAATAATACCATATTATTGGTAAAAATATATTACGTAAATCTTTTTGTAATATAGGAAAATGAGTCTTAGTTGCTATGGAATCATTATTATTATTATTATTATTATTATTATTGATTAAATTCAATTGACGACGTGATATAATAGTTAATGGATTATGTAAGAACAACGCTAAACGACGTATTGCACAACATTGACGTAATAATGTACCACTTTGTAAATTCATATAAAAATCATTATTGATTGAATGATTATCTATTAATAAGGCTAATGATGAATATCTTTTTCTTAATTGATAGGTACGTATAATACAATTTAATAAACGTAATAAATGTAAACGTTTTATACTAGACAATATAGTTATATCTTGTAAATAGATAATTAAATTAGACCATAAACATTTAATAATTAATTCTTGATAATATTGATCTGTATCAATATGATTATCATGATGATTTAGATTTTGTTTTATTAATAATCTAGATTGTATAGATTGAATACAATGTATGATATAATCTAATGCTATATCACGTAAATGTAATTCATTATGAGTTATTGTATAAATAGCACAATTTAAACCAGCTCTATGTAAATATAATAATTGTTTTGGTGGTTTATTCAATTTCATTAATGTACATAATTCAATAAGTAAATGAAAACCATTAGTACGTTGATGAATATCTGGTTGATCAATATGTGTAATATCCCATGAATTTAACTGCAAAAAAAAAACAAAAAAACAAAAAAGAAATAAGGATAGAAATATGTGGAATTCATAATGATTGGTTAACATCAATCAAAGAGAGAGAGAGAGAGAGAGAAAACAACAGCAACCGGATTTCTATACTTTCCCCAACTCTCTCTCTCTCTCGAAATGCTCTCACATGGCCACGCGTATAGAGCTACTGTCAGGAAAGTTTAACTCACTTCCTTTTCGTGGCGTGGGTGTTATGTACGAAATTGAGAAGACGAAAAGCGAATGTCCGTTGACTTAACTGCGTTGGTGAATACGGACAGTACACCTAAGGGAGTTGGAAAACCGTCATTCCAAATAAATCGTCCACATGGGTTCCAGTATCCTGAAGGAAGAAATGGTGTATGAACCTTTTGTTGGTCACCAGCTACTACGGGACTCCATCACCTAACGTTACTCCACTACCTTGTGAATTATACATATGGGTCAAAGGCTCCAAGTCAGTCAGTCAGCTACAACGTAGGACGAGGCATATACACGCCATTGTGACCGATTTTGAGTCATGTCATTGGTTACGATAGTCACGCGAACCTCAACCAAGTAGTCTGCATCTACCAACATGGCTCAGACTAGAAGTTAGTGACTTTAAGCACTGATGCCATGATTCGGTTTCGCCGCTCCTAACTTCCTTCCAACCATCCCCAACACTAGTGAGCATTGCACATCGTGGTAATCGGTGTTCAGGCATACGCAACACGTGGCCCAACTATCTCAGTCGATGAAGATTCACAACCTCATCAACTGATTTACCATCATTCCCTAATACCCTGCGTCTAACCTCACTATTACTTACCCGGTGATCCCAGCAGATGCGAGCAATATTTCTAAGGCACCTGTGGTCAAATACTAGTAACTTACGAATATCTTCTACTCTTAAAGACCATGTTTCGTAGCCGTATAGTAAAACGGAACGAACTCGTCCCTTAATTGATAGACGGATATCTCGCCTTCGCCATAGATGACGTAAGTTGGCAAAGGCCAAGCGAGCTTTTCGAATCCGTGCTGAGATTTCGTCAGACACCAACCCATTAGGGCTGATCAGACTTCCAAGATAAGTGAAGTTGTCGACGCGTTCGATTACTTCACTTCCTATCCTTAGTTCAGGTGTTGGTGCAGACCAGTCCTGAAGCAACAACTTGCATTTAGAGCGAGAGAAGAGCATTCCGAACATTCTGGCATTGTTGCTTAGTGCTATCAAAAAGACTCTGCATTTTATCAGCGTCTTCACCAAACAGGACTATGTCATCTGCATATTCTATGTCGATAAGTGGACCTCCTGGTAGGAGATCAATGCCGGAGAATTCAGTCGACGAGGGGCTCCAAGTATGGCCCCATAAGGAAACCACCTGCTTCGGCTTTCGCAACAGGACAGTATCCCAGCCCTCACACAAATCAAGTGACTTGTGTGGCACATATCTATTTGATGCCTCCTTCTACCAATCTTTATGTGTTTAAATAAATAAATACATACATACACATATTATTAACACCTTACCATTAATAGTACATTTTGAGTTAGATTATTAAGTGCATCAGTTGATTGATTGTGATCTGATAAATATTTCTTTAAATATCTTAAATTATGATTGACTGGATCAGTATCTTCTTTAATATCCTCTTTGATATTCTTATTCTCATTGTTATTCAACTTATCAATCATTTCAATTAGATCTGTTGGCCAATTTGTTAAACGTGATGTACAAACACCGACTACTTGACATAGGAGACTACGAGCAATACGTGATTTAGAACAAACAAATAAATCCAATATTTTTCTGTAAAGAAAAAAAAAAAGAGAAAATCGCTTAGAAACAAACATACGTACGTGTATATTGTTATATCCATATGAAGAATAAATGAACGGTAGCTGTTGCTAGGACTTATTTATGAACTATTATTACATATATCTTTATTATTCAGCAACTATATTATATGTATATTTATATTCGTTTTATTCTAAACTTTGATATGAACTATTGACGACTATTATACGATTTACAATTCTTAAATTACTCCTAATACATTAGTAACAGTCTCACAATAACAGCCACTTTTGGCTTGGTCTTGTATAATTACTATCTTTTGTTTTACAGTGTGATACGGTCTAATCTACTTATATATATATATAAACAGCATATGTCCGAAATACATGATTCATATGGTGGAAGCTGAGATTGTGTTCTGGACTGAAGCGTACAAGGCTGGGTGAGAAGAACAAATAAAGACTCAAAGTTGACACTAGGCTGTTATACATGTGTATACATTTTTATTTCCTTATGAAAGTGAATAGAGTATATTATTAGTTAGTCAGCTACAACGTAGTGTAGTGGACAGAACACCGATGGGGACAATCGAATGTGTCGAGGCACTTAATTACAGAGCATCTCAATAAAATCTGAGAAGCATATATAGTAAATCCTTAATATGCAAAATATCAATCCATCATATCAAACTTGACTGTTTCTGCTGCAAACACCAATCCATTGCCTCAGATTTCATTATTCATGCATTTTCTTACCAATTGCGTTCCGTTTCCATTCCTGTTCTTTCCTCATCGATCTTCAATTAAAATACACTCTATGCTTGACCACCATTAAATATTACTTATATGAATATAAGTAACCCACATCACAGTAGAACTAGGCACATATATGCATCGATCCAAGTCGCCACACTTTATTACCATAACAAAATGAATGCCAAATTCATGGAGGTAATTACTTCAATGATAGTAATATATAAAAGACCAGTGGAGTTCAACCATGTCAAATACGTGACAGTTATTGACTCCAGACAATAAGGAGATGGTTGCATAATATTTTCAATTCATTATAGTTATAGAAATATACCAATGGATATCGGATCAATGGTCGACGTTTTAAGTTTCTGCGCGAGATGGAATTCTTGGATTTGATTCTCCTTAGTAGGAGTCCCTAACTAGGATTATTTATTTATTTTTTTATTTTAACACATAAGTATAGGTACAGAGAGGCACCAAGTACATATGCGCCACACGAATCTCAATTGATTTGTGTGAGGGCTGTGATACTGCTCGGGTGCCCAAACCGAACCATGTGGTTTTATTAGGGGGCCACACCCCGAGCCTTTGACCTGAACGTCTGACCCACAAGGCAGTGGAGCATCGTGAGGAGATGCAGTCCGATGGTAGTCGGTGACCAACGATTGGTTCATACGCCATTCGATCCTTCAGGATAATGGAGCCCATGTGCACCATTGGTTTGGGGTCCGGTTAAAGCGCCAGACATTCGCTTTTCGTCCTCTTATTTTTGTAAACAACACCCGCGCCACGAGAAGGCAGTGAGTAGGACTTCCATGGGAGAGGCTATATACGCATGGCCATGTGAGAGCATTTCGAGAGGGAGAGCGGACTCTGCCCACTCATGGCCGTACCAGGGCATTTGGGGGCCCCTAACTAGGAAGAAACGACCGTTTCAATGCTTACAGTTTTTTAGTGGTATTTTGCTAAGATCAGTTAACGATTTCGAAACTTAGAAATTTGTTTTAAAAAAAAACTTATTACTACTTAAACTCACTTTAAATATTCAGTAATATTTGTTGTAATCTGTACAAGATGAAGAATAGATTGTATAAGTTCTGCTTCAACTACTTCACCTGTAGCCATTTGTAAATCATAACGTATAGCTGATTCATCTGAATTTACTAAGAGATTATTAGTAATACGATGTTTAAATGATATTGATTTAGTAGTCAGGTTAGTAGTATTATTACGCAATGAACGAATTGATGAACGTTGAAGTAATTTTAATAATGCTTGAAGTAATCGTTCACTATCAACCGGTGTTAAACACGTTGTATTATTAATTGAATAACAAGATAATTGAGCTAAATAACTAACTAATTGAAATTCACGCTGTAAACGTAAACCTGATTGTGGTTTTTTGCCAAGATTTGTAAAATATGTTGATTTCACTTGACATAATTCTTGTAAACGTTTATTTAAATAATTGACTAATTCCGAATGGAATGATTGTAATAATACACGACCTGTAGTGGATACATCTGTTAAGAAAAGGATATATATATGTGAAAGAACGAAACTATAGATTACAGAAACAATATACTTTTCGTAATATTCATAACCACTCCGCCTGGAGTCCCTCCGGGGGCTACTGCCGGTTCCAAGCCCGGATGAAGGAGGAGGGTTGGGCATGGGGTTAGCGACCCCATCCCGTAGAAAACTAACTCGCTAAAAAAAACGTTAACCAGAAAACATTATTCAAACCATATTCACAACAAATAACCTAATGTTAGGCGATTGGAAATGATTAACAAGAAATCGTAAATTGTAGGCTTTATGGTAATTTGGACCTGTCAGTAAGATATAGTATCTGAAATCTCTGGAGAAATGGTAGTTCACATGAGATGATTTTACGGTTAGAGCTTTCAAGCTTCAGTATGCTTTATCAAAAGCGAATATACAAGTTTGTAATTGATAAGTAAATTACTTTAATCCCATTTACAGTAATGATCAGAACTGTACAAGATGTACACATATGCCAACCAAAACTGATTAAAGATATTAATAGAATAATACAAATCATTTCAAACTGAATCACAAGTCATACAGGTTGAAGAAGTGAGTGGATAACTGGACTTGGTATTTAAGAGAATCATGGGTTTGGCATTTAACGTGAACAGTACTGGGTCCAAGTCCCGGAGAGAATATAAGATCTAGGATGGAGCTAAATTCGGCTGATGAGTTAAAAGAAAATAGGACGAAATACACATCTAAGATTCCACTACTAACTATATTCCATTTACTCTATAGAAATATAACAATGAATAAAAATGAGTCAACTTGTAGTCTCTCTAACTACACATAATTTGTGGAAGCATCAACATGTACACGAACATAGACTGATGAAATCACCTTGTGAATATTGTTAAGGAGAAAATACAATACTCTAAAAAGATATATACATTATATATTGTTATATCCTAGTACCTCCTGAGAACTATTAATGGAGCTATATATATAGAACTATAATTTATGGACGAACCAATAACATATAAGATAACACGTCATGGATTTTGGCGCGAAATTTACTCATCCAAATGGGTAAATAGAGTTTTGACGTGATAGTTGATGTCAGTTCGTGATGAAAACTTTAAATGTAATTCTTAACCTTAATCATCAACTGTCAATCATAATTCTAATTCCTCACGTAGGTTTATGACCTTCATTTGATCTTGGTCATTAGGTGGACACTCTCAGGGTCAGTCTAGTGTCGCTCAGGAGTCGCCCATAAATTATAATCTCACTCTAATTAAATTGTGTATATCTACAATCCTCTTAGTATAAACTTTATTTTGACCTAGAATTTACTGTTCTTAAGTTATGTTCCATTTATTGATTACATTCTCCCAAGTTCACAGCCACTTTTTAACTTGTTTATTTGAACACATAAATGCTCGTATAAAGCAGCACCGAATATACATGCGCCACACAAACCATTTGATTTGCATGTGGACTGTGACCGAAGCAGGTGGTTTTTTTTAGGAGGTCACTCCCTAAGCCTTTACCTATGGAGTTTGATCCATAAGGCAGTATAGAGAAACGTGAGGAGATGCAGACCCATGAAAGCCGGTGATCAACAATCAGTTCGTACACCATTTATTCCCTCAGGATTCTGGAGCCGATGTGCACCATTGGTTTGGAATGAAGGGTTTTCCAACTCTATCAAGTAGATCCTCCATATCTACCAACCCTGTTAATGCGCCGGACATTCGCTTCACATCCTTTCAATTCCTTGAACGCCCAGGCCACGAGAAGCCAGTGAGTAGGACTTTCCTGTATACATGTGGCCATGTGAGAGTGTTTCGAGAAAGAAAACTAACTCACCACACTCTAAGTCGTACCATAGCATTTAAATACTGATCTTGTATAAATTTTATTTCCTATTTTATAGTATGATGCGGGTCTGTTTGTTTAGCATATAAACTATAGTAGAAGATGTTATTGACTTTCTGGATTCAACTAGAAAAGTTAAAAGAACATAAGACTAATAAAGACGCTAGGTTACTCATTACCGATCGATTGTTTAAGATTGTACTTGGATTGGTGAATCCATCACATGATAATAACATGGAAACAATAATAATAATAATAATAATAATAATAACAATATCAATGATGAAACTACTTACCAGGTAGAAATGTTAAATTATGTATAATTTCTATAAGTTTTTCAATAATTTCATTCTTCAATTTCAATTTAGTACTACTACTACTACTACTACCACTACTACTAGTAGTAGTATTATAAGTAGTATTCTTATTTATATGATTATAATGTATATTTAATAATTTAAATAATGTATTCAATAATGATTGATTAAAAAATTTCCTACATAAATAACCATTATATATTGTTGATTTAGACCATATAGAACATAATTGTATAATTAAATGATTTAATGATAATGTAGAACTATTTATAAGATCATTTAATAGAAATGAATTACAACAAATTTCTTTAACCATTATTGAACGATCTGATGATGATGATGTTGCTGATGCTGACGTTGCTGCTGCTGACGATGATGATGAGGATGGCGATGATGATGACGAAACAATTTGATCATCAAGATCATTATTAATGTTAATTGATTTACCCCAAAATTCAATTTCACATAACCATTTTGATGAGAATAAATGAACAAGTAAATTAATAGCAGCTAAACGTACAGCTTTTAATTGAGATGCTAAAGGTAGACAATGTTTATGATTAGGATCAGTTGATTGTAGTTTTATTTTTTTAACTTCATAGACCATAGCTAATAGACATAATGCTAAACGTAATAGAATATCAGCACGTTGAATATTATTAGAAAGTTCTATTGAATTAGAATTTTTGACAAGATTGTCTTCATCATTCTCATCTAATTGAATAATATTTAAACGATGACCCATATAATTTATTGTTTGATTAATAATTTGCGATAATCTATTAAAAGATTAAACATACAGAGAAAGATAAATGAAGATAGAGAAACCTGTTAACTGGTTAAGACTGGATTATTTTCTTCTATATAACCGCTCATACCATAGAAGTTGTTTGTTGGCGATTAGTACACAGTTACTTATGTCGGTTACATATCATGGAAGTGCATAGACCAACCAGTAGCATTCTCTATAAAATTCTGTCATGTATAATCTTTTTCCAGTTGATATTCATCCATTTTATATCTTCTTCCATTTCCCTTCAAGATTCCAAGTTAGGGCATGCCTCGTGATACAGTTTGGTGATTTTTGTAATGTATGTCCTATACACTTCCATCATCTTCTTCTAATTTCCTCTTCAGTTCTCTTTCATAGTAGGCTGTTGCTGATGATATCTGGCTAACGGATATCGAATATATTGTGTAGACAATTGTTTATAAATACTTGTACTATTTTGATGATGTAGTTGTAATAGTTCTCTAATTTCCAGCTCTGTACAGTAGAACTGTGTTGACAATCGTATTGAAGATTGTGACTTTGATATTGGTTGATAGACAGTTGTTGTGAGTTCTATATGTTCTTCGACTGCAGGAATTCTGAACCTGTTTTGACAATCCTTGCATTTAACATCTGCTTCCAATTTGTACAAAAGTGTTATGTAATAACATTTATCGTTTCTAATGATCATAATTGAGCTTTTCATTGTATAATTAGTTAATAAATGTATCATTGTACTTCTATGTTATCCTTATTGTAAGCTTCCAATGGATAGATCTATTAACTGTCAGTATACGTTTTACTATTCCTCAATTATCACTAATTATTTATGTCCTATTTGTTTGCCATATTCTCTGTGTTCGAAATTATTACATCTAATTTTGTATAATTTTCAAGCTAATAACTCATGTATATAAGCTAATAAGTACCTGAGATCGTTGTTAGCTGACTTCTCTTTGAACTCAGGTCAATGTATCGAGAAAACGTCGTGGATAGCAGACTAATAGAAGTGTAGCTTGCATTAGTTGAAGATAAACTATGCAGGTTAGAATGTGTAATTAGTCAAGTCTAGGACGGTTACACTAGAGACGGAATAATGGATATGGAATGGAAGTTAGCACCTGATAAATACAAATGTGTAAAGTTATAAAATGTTCTTTTTTTTTTTTTTAATTCCATAGGATGTTGTTCTTCCACAACTTGTCACAATCTTCAACCACAATATCAGATGACTTTTGTGTACCAAAAATAATTCATTAGAGAAAAAACAGACTACATTCAACTTGAATGAATTGAAACTTCATTTTAAAGATTATACATATTAAACTTCATTAATTAATCAAATATGAAACGTACGCATGTAATCGAGACCAGGATAATGTATCTTTACCATTAATTGTATGTTGAACACGTTGTCTAGCCGATTGAATACAATCATTTAATGATATGGTGGTAGGATTAAAAGTATTGATAGACAACTGAATACATTCTGTTTCTTTAATGAATGGATCTAATAAAAAGCTTAGAAATAAATTCAATTCAGAATTTGTATATTGTGCTAAATTAGTGAATACAGCTGATGTGAATTGACCTTTGGACAATTGTAATCGACCGTATAAGATACTGCAAAAAAGATAAAGAGAGAATGGATAGGCTTTTTTTTTTCTTTTCAGTTTGATGTTTATGAATGAAATACATGAATTCAAAAAGAAAATAAAACACACCAAGTTACTGGATAAAAAAAATCCATTAAAAACAAATACATCACAGAATGAACGTCTATTAGATTTCTGTTGTTGTCAAGGGAACGCGCCATAAAAATGGTAGCTGACGAAACTGCCTTATGAACAATTATGTTTTAGAATTTGTTTCTAGTGGATAATTATTTAATAACAAGACTATTATGTTTTTATATTCCATTTATCATAAACTCTCATTTGCCAATAAATACGATCGACGTTGGGGAGAGTTTGTTCCTCACTTGAATTGTTCGTACTAGGCCTCGCCTATGATATAACCAATCCTAGGGAAGTCCTACTTATTGTTTTCTGACAACGGGGGATTTACTTAAGAAATTAAGACGAAAGAAGAATTTACGACGCTTAAAGCAGGTTTGTAGGTATAGATGATTCACTTAGGGGAGTTGGTAAATCCTGATTCAGAATCAATGGTCCACATGGGCTACTAAGGAAATAAATGTTGTTTGAATGTGTTCTTGGTCAATAGCTACCATAGGACCACATCTACAGTTGCTCCACTGCTTTGGAGATTAGATCTCTAGGTCAAAGACTCAGGCAGTATCCTTTCAAGAAAATACCCAGTTTGGCCATGAACAGCATCTCAGCCGTTACACAAATGGAATGATGAATCATTGACGATCAATGGATAGATAATAAAATTCAACTGTTGTGATTTCGGTTCTGAGTTTTAAGTAGTCTATATTGATGATGTTGTTTAGAAGAACGATGAAATCTCCACGATCAAACTATACAACTCAAAGAACAAAACTCTATCAAAATCATCCACCTGAGTGACAGATTTTCTTTACCAATTCAACTGTTGTGAAAGTATCCCCTATAAGAATTACAACTTTGACTCACCTTCCAATATCTAATCAGTTGAAGTTTACAGATAGGATATTTTGATTCAACTAGTCAGCATGAACGGTTGAATTATTCCCAAAAGAATATCTTTTTAACATAACCAAAAATGCAAGTAATGATAACCATGAATACATGGAGGGATAAAACATATGGATCACCAAGTAGGTCTCGAACATATACATTTCAGTTTGAGTAGTTGAGTATCCACACTAATATTATAAACATACAAATTGTATGACTAAGAACTAACTATATATAATATCTAGACACGTTAAGAGAGTTAGATCATTTCATGCATATTTTAACATTATCTATATATAAAATATAATTGGAAAAATTACCGTAACAAAACTCCACCAATGTATTCACGATGTTCTGAAGAGTATAAAGATGTGTCCAGTCGAAATGTTCTCACTGCATCACGAAATGTTTGTGGATTAATAATCTTCTCTATTTGTTCTCTGAAAGATAAAACATTGTCATAAAAAAAGTTGGAATTACGATGTATACCATTTATGTATAAACTATCATACGCAATTTAGTGTTTATTTAAAGTAGGGTAGTTGATTAGTTTAACTTCGCCTTTTTAGGGTTACTGTGAGTCATAAGCTCGGGTAAAGGAGAATGGTTGGACATGTGGTTAGCAAGCCCGCCCTGTGGAAAACAACCTTGCTAAAAAAAAACGCTAAGCAGAATAAACAAATTAAACCATTCCCTGGGAGTTGACGGATCTTTATTCAGGAGAATTATGAAACCTAATGGTGAAAGCTGAGATTCTTCGGAATTAACGAGGTCAATGCCCCTTCCAACAAGTAAGTTTGCTTGTGTACGTTGCTATCGATGGATAACTGTTTCACGGTTAACATGGCTGAACTACACTGGTTACAGTTTTCCATTAGAAATTCAAGAGTTTCATCTTGAAGTTGGTCATTAATGTACACGTGAATATTATTAGTATACTAGGAAAGGGTTGTGGAATTTGTAGCATTTTCACAGTTAACATCATCTACAATGTAGGACTAGGTAAATATATGCATCGATCCAAGTTGCCACACCTCATTAGCACAACAAGATGAACACCGAATTTATAGAAGTAGTTCATTCAATGGTGATAATACATAAAACAAAGATTGCATATAACGACATAGTACAAAAAGAAAGAATTAGACGTTAGGAAGAAAGATAAAAAAGTAATTTTAGTCTCACAGTTTAAAGGGAGACAAAGAGTGTATACATCAACGCCATTGCGATCGGTTCTGAGCCATGTCACCCAGAATCTCCAACAGCTGGTTACGATAGTCACGCGAGCTCCTAGCAAGCAGTTTGCATCTACCAACATGGTTCAGACTAGAAGTCAGTGACTTCAAGAACTGATGCTACGTTTTGGTTTGACTGCCCCTAACTTTCTTCCAACCATCTCCAACACAGTTAACATCACAAAATGATATTAGCTAAATCGTCAAACAGTTTAGTAATTTCAATGTCGAATCCATTAGCAATTTACTAATCTCAATTGTTGTGAAATGAGTCAGTTATTTTTATTTTGTATTCAGTCTACAATGAAGTTGTGCAACACTATTGGAGAAGTAATACATTAATCAGCGAATCGATTATCATGATAAATTTTTTATGATCGGTATAAGGTTGCGGAGATTATTGATTAAAATCATGAACTGATTGATGTTAGACCATTGAATGGTCGTTTCGTCCTATTGTGGGACTCCTCAGCAATGCACATCCACGATCTCGCTCGTGTAATTCCAACCCAGGGCCTTCAACCACGCATGCTTAACCGGCATGTAACGGTATTCATGTCTAACCTCAAAAAATCCACGAAATTGCTCGATTATCTTCCAATGTACTGAGGTAGATACCTGTCTCTACTCGACACGAATTACTTCCATTGGTCACCGGTTCTTTGACATTGATTTAACGTCAAGAGTTAATCACTGAAATATCAGATTGAATCATGAAAAAAAAACGATGTAAAATAATGTAATACGACTATGACAAATAACTAACTTACTGATAATTATTAATTGCTGATTGTTTATAAGCCAGTAAACATTTGAATGCTGCACTTTGTATTGTGGGTTGTTTAAATTTTAACAACTATTAAGAGTAAGGAAAAAAAAAGAAGAAAGAAATTAGAAAAGAGAAGTAATGTTGATGATAATAGACGAGAAACAATTGATTATGCAATCAAAAAATGAGAACTGTTATTACAGTCAAAGTATTCAAATTAGATTTGCATTCACAAATGCATTACATTGAAGGGAATAGAATACTACCTGGATGCTCAAACTGAACTAAGTAGTTTTTTTAAGCAGGTTACACTCTGAACCTTTCACCTAGAGATATAATCTATAAGGCAGTAGAACAACTTTAGGAGAGTAGTTCCATGAGTGTTGGTGACCAATAATAGGTTCTTACACCATTTGTTCCCTCAGGTTTCTGAAGACTATGTGAATCACCGTTTATCAACTCCTACAGATGGACCTTCTATATCTACCAACCCGGTTAAATCTCAGAACATTTACATTTCGTCCTCGCAATTTCATAAAAACACCCTCGTCACGTGAAAAAAAATGATGAATTGGTTTAGTGTTGTATAGATGAATATACTTTTAGTATGGTGAAAAGAGTAATTAATTAACTTTGAAAAACAGATTACTTTTCCCTGTCATCGCAATCAACGTAAAGCCTCGCGTACAAAAGCGTGTTCACACATATCGCGCTATGGTATATATATGCAGTAACAATGATAATAACAAACATGTGAAACATTGAAAATCTGGTTCTAAAAGACAATGAACTGATTTTCTGCATTGTCAGAAACGTTACCACTGAACCATTTAAACCGTAACTGATCTTGTGTAGGATTGAGATATACTTACAATTAACCGATTACTGAGTAGTGACCAATATCAAGTATATTAAATACTTCTTAGTGAAGAGTGTTACGTCGGATGACACCGTATCGAATTATAGAGAGGACATCGGTTCCCTCAAGATTACTGTTCGAACTTATTAATCAGTTTCAAATAGCATGAAACCTAGGAAAGTGTAGGGATTCCTATCAACTACCTCTTTACTTCTCAAAAGAGAGTACACGATGTGAAATCATTTAGACTAAGAGTGTGTACATTGCAACATGAATTTCAATCAAAAGTAACGAAGACTTGACGAATATGACATTGGTCAATACTCAGTTATCACTTAATTGTAAACATGTAGCACTTCAATTCACTTGATATTGTTTTATTTGAATCCTCCGATTGATGTTTAAGACTGAAATTGTTCAGTCTCTTATTGGCATATGGGCATACTGTGCGTATGCCTAGATATTGCCTTAATTTACAAGCATTATAAGCAAAGATGGATAGTGGCTAGCAGTGGAATCCAGGACTAAGCTAAGTGGATAACGCGATGGCGTTTGAAGCGGACGGTACTGGGTTCAAGTCCCAGAGTGAACATCAACTCTGAGATGCAGGTACATCCAGCTGACGAGTCCCAAATAGGACTAAACGCGCGTCAAACTGGATTACACTGCTAGCCACTATCCATCTTTGCTTATAATGTAGCACTTCAGTTGATAAAGATTTATAACAAAGTATTTATCTGATCATAACTTTTCTAAATGAGCATATTTATAACTGTAGAACATCTGGAACTCAAAACAATTAGCAACAAATACCAAGGTCAGACTTTTTAATAAAAATGTTAAGACAGTCGTACTGTATAAGGCAGAAACTTGGAGAAATACGAAAGTCAACATCCACAAGATACAAGTGTTTATTAACAGTTGTCTACGCAAAATACTTCGGATCCGTTGGTCAGACACTATCAGCAACAACCTACTATGTGAGAGAACAAACCAGATTCCAGCAGAGGGAGAAATTAGGAAGAAGCGTTGGAAGTGAACAGGACACACATTAAGGAAAGCATTGAACTGTCTCATCAACGCAAGTCCTCACTTAAAATCCTCAAGGCCAAAGAATAAATTACTTCGAGAAACGGAGACAGATATCATAAGAATGAACAACAATTGTATAGAATTAGAAGGGAAAGCCCAGGACAGAGTGTGTTGAAGAATGCTGATCGGCGACTTATGTTCCATTAGGAGTAACAGGCGTAAATAAAGTAAAAACAATTTATCTAATCAAAGGCTTATGAAATTACTATTACATATGAACCTTGACTAGTTGATTATTATGTGTAATATTTAATATTACATAATCTATTTACTTGGTATATATTTTGTTTGAACTCTTTCTCCATATAAATTGATTTGATATTATTGAATTGAGAGTATAAATTCAGGATAGTCAATAGAAGTCTATAAGAAAACAACAAATTGTGAATTCAAAACATTAAAGTTTTATGCAATTTTAATTTTCAGAAGGGATTGTGTGGAGATTTTAGAAGTTTCACTGGTTGAAATCATGAATCTATTGAAGCTAGACCACCATGGAAAACCTGGAAGCACTGGACGACCGTTTCGTCTTAGTATGGGACTCCTTAGCAGTGCGCATCCACGATCCCGCGAGATTCGAACCCAGGACCTATCAGTCTCGCGCTAGGCGCTTAACCAACTAGACCACTGAGCCGGCATCTAACGGTGTTAATGTCTAACTTCGACCAATCCACGAAGTTGCGCCACCGTACACCATTGTCTTCAGTGAGCTGATATCTCACAACAGACCTGGTTGGACTCCACTGGTAACGGCTTCTCACTAGAACTTCAGTAGTATCTCTTGAAGTCAGTCACTAGTGAGCAGATGATTAATATTATCAGAAGGGATTGTGTGGATGCGCACTGCTGAGGAGTCCCATACTAGGACGAAACGGCCGTCCAGTGCTTCCAGGTTTTCCATGGTGGTCTAGCTTCAATGGATTCATGATTTAAACCAGTGAATTTTAATTTTGTAAATTTGAAGTTGAAGAGATTGATGATAATTACTTTAATTGAGATCATTAAAAAAATAAAACACACACACACACAACCTGCAAACATTTCAAATTAGGTTTTGTTTTAGTAGGTAACTCTTCAACAATGCACATACATGATCCTGTAACCGAGAATCAAATGCAAAACATTCGATTTTGAGGCGTGAGCGATCGATCGATCGATCGTTGGATTAATACCCTGGGTGCCTAAACCGAAGTAGGTGATTTTCTTACGGAGCCACATATGGAGCCTTCGACCTAAAGGTCTAATCCACAAGGCAGTGGAGCAACATCAGGAGATGCAAACCCATGATAACCGGTGACCAACGACTGGTTAATACAACATGTGTTGCTTTAAGATACGGGAGCCCATGTTCACTGTTGGTTTGAAATGAGGGTTTTCCAAGACCCCTAGTTGGATCCTCCATATCCGCCAACTCGGTCAAAGTGTCGGACATTCGCTTTTCGTCCTCTCAATTTCGTAAACAACACCCTTGTCGCAAGAAGGCAAATAAATACTCTATAAAGATATTACCGAGTACATTCAATTCTATGTACCTATATCAAATAGTCAACAGTATTTAAAGCATCATCCATCGTATTTACTTTAGAAACCCTATTTGTAATTGATAATCATAATAAGACCAATACTCACTGTTCAGTTGACTTATTTAAACCAGACTGAATAGCAGAACTAAAAAGAATAGAAAAGAAAAGAAAGAAGATACTTTAATATTGTTTCATTCAATGTTCATCTTATTGATATAAGTTATCGTAAGCTAAGGAGCTGAATACGTATTAACCTACGAAGTATTTCTATGGAGAATTTGATGTGACGAAATTAAAGTGAAAAACAAATTATCAATTTAAGTGTTGTGGAGATTGTCATGTTTTTGATTGGGATCATGAGCCAGTTGAAGCTGGACCACCATGGAAAACCTGGAAGCACTGGACGGTCTTTTCGTCCTATTCGATCACTGAGCCGGCATCCAACGGTGTTAATGTCTAACCTCAACCAACCCACGAGGTTGCGCGACCATCTTCCATTGAACTGAGGTAGACACGTGTTTCTACCCGACGCTGATTATTTTGGAGTTCGCATTATTAAGTCGCAAATCAGGAGAACAGTTTGTACTGTGGTTAAATTCAAGTATTGAGTTTTTCATCTAGATTGTTTAGTAGCAACGACCATCTGATATAGAGAAAACAGACCGATGTGAATGGTTAACAGTTATTGAAAAATACCTTGGATTCATAGAGATTTTCTCTGCTTATTGGTTGAAAATTGGTCTCAAAGTCAAGCGCTAACTTTAAGAGGTGCTAAAGTTTGTCAAGGTAAGAGTATGTAATAGGGACTGGATGATCATAATGGCGAATGCACCCGTTAAGCATTTATCAGAAATTCAAATATCATTTATGATGAGCAATAGAAAAACCTTGATATGTTGTTTAAAATCGTTTAACATGGTAACGGGAAATTATGGAATGTCACTACGGAGTTAAAACGATAATGTTAGCCGTGAACGCACTGAACACAAAGTGCATCCTGCATGGCAACCAAGCACTTCTGCACTACAATTGATGCCAGCTTGTTATGGAGAACTCTAAACCTCTAGTTCTTACTTATATCAAGAATACTGTAGGAATACTTCAAAATCAATCTGAGTCTTGATAAAGATTAAGCAAAGTAGACAAACTACACAATCAAAACAAGAAGAAAAAAAAACAATTTTTCCCTTCAATCTTACCTAATTATATTCAATAATAATGGTGTAAGAAAATGTGTATATTTTGCAGCGACTTTCCAACGTAAACACTGCCATAAACATAATCGATATGATAACCAATCTGGACGTTTTCTTGATTCAATAATTAACCAATTATTATTAGTATTATCATTGGGTCTTTTCCTTTGTAAACTATATAAATCTGGACGAATTGATGTGAACCATATGATGGCAGTTTCATATGAACAAGTATAAAGATTTGTTTCATTAGAATCTGAAATATTTTCTACATCTAAAATGAATATAAACAATAAACGAAGTGGAGGTACAACGATTTAAACACATTAAACATTTGAAAGAGGAGGCACTAAATAGATATGCGTCATATAAATCATTCGATTTGTATGAGGGCAATGATACTGCCCGGGTGACCAAACTGAAGCAGATGACTTTCTTAGAGGGCCACACCACGAGTCTTTGACCTAAATGTCTAGTCCACAAGGCAGTGGAGCAACGTTAGAAGATACAGTCCCATAGTATCTGGTCACTAATAACTGGTCCATATGCCATTTGTTTCCTCAGGATTCTGGAGCCCATCCAAACCATAGGTTCGCAATAAGGGTTTTTCAACTCGTCTGGGTGGACTTCGTGTCCATCAACCCGTTTAAAGCACCGGACATTCGATTTTTGTCCTTTTAATTTCGTAAACACCCCCGCCACGAGAAGGCGGTGAGTAAAACGCCTCTGGCAGTGGTCGTATGCACGTGGCCATGTGAGAGCATTTGGGCGCTAATATAGATATTTAAAAGAACAGTACCACCTGTTATGAAACTAAGAAAGATGCTCAATTAGTGGTTATTTGTCACATTCTTCATAATGTATTCGCTTGAGAGGAATATATAGATTGTAGCAGTTATTATTATTATTATTATTATTATTATTATTATTATCCCTTAGCTCAATGTCATGTACGGATTGGTGAACACCGATTACCGCGACGCGCAATGGTAACCGGTGTTAGGGATGACTGGAAGAAAGTTAAGGGCGGCCAAACCAAAACGTGGCATCAGTGCTTGAAGTCACTAACTTCTGGTCTGAGCCATGTTGGTAGATGCAGACTACCTGGTTGGGGTCCGCGTGACTATCGTAACCAATGGTTGGAGACTCTTGGTGACATGGCTCAGAACTGATCACAATGGCGTAGGTGTATTCACTCTCTGTCTTCCTTTAAACTAAGAGATTAAAATCGCTTCATATCTGTCTAGGAACTAATTCTTTCTTCCTTTACTATCTCCTTATACACACTCTTTCTTCTATATATTACCACAACTGAATTAAATACTTCTATGAATCCGGTGTTCATCTTGTTGTGCTAATGCGGTATGGCAACTTGGACCGATGCATATACGTGCCTGGTCCTACGTTGCAGCTGACTGACTGACTGACGGATTGGTGAAAATATATGACAATTTATAATTGATTAATCGCTAATTAGTGACCAATATCATGTGTGTCAGGTTCTTCTTATTGCTGACAAAATTCTGTCGATCAAGTTGAAATGTGGTTATTAACAGTCTAAGTGACTCGATATATCGTGCAGTATGTTCAGCTGTTTATTGGGCGGTGGTTGGAAATAGTCAACACGATAGAACTCGATCAGAACTAGGAAAGACTTCATATACTAGTCTATTGTGATGTAATCACATTAAAAATTGATCGATAGGATTCTATATGCATTAAGAAATACTTGACAGTCGTTTCGTCCTAGTATGGAATTCCTCAGCATCGCACACCCACCCAGTACACTCGGTCTCTAGACCACCGAGTCAGCATCTAACAGTGCTAATGTTTAAATTTTCATTGTTTGTACATTCTAGTTGTGTTAGTTAGTTATTAATCCTTCTATCTTTCTACACAAATCGGAATCAGGAATAAATCGAATAGTGTTCCAGTTGATTTGTCATCTTTCTTTCTCCCTAGTCAACCAATCAGTCGAAAGAATAGTGTTCATCATTCTACCTAAGGCAGTTAGAGTTAGTTCCAGTTCAAACTCACATATTTTTAACCCCTAAGGTTAAACCAGTTAACCTGTCATATCAATGCCTTAATCTAGATCAAGACAAGTATATTACTGGATAGACCGATTAGGGAGATAACAGACAATTTAACAGTTTACTAAGAACATTAAAAAAAAGATAATAATAAATAAAAGAAAATCGATAAATCGATAGATACATAGATACTAACCTTGATTATTGTTATTAACAATTTTTGTCTCAATATCCATTAATAATGGTTGAAATATACTCCAGAATAAATTTCTACATTCAATATTCCAATTTTTCTCTTTCATTTCTAATTCATTAGATGAATTGTTATGTTTAATTGATTTTTTCTTTAATAATGAATTTGATTCACAATAACTTGCAATAGCCTCATATATTGGGGACCAAATAACAGTGAATTGAACATGAAGTAGACCAAATAAATAATGAATAGCAATCTGTATAAAGATAATTAACAACATACATGTATAGAAGTAATCATGTGTTATTAAACATCAGCAACAATCTACTGTGGAATAGAACAAACCAGATTCTAGTGGTGGAACAAATCAAGAAGAAGCGTTGGAAGTGGATAGGACACACATTGAGGAAAGCAACCAACTGCATCACAAGGGAAGTCCTCATTATAAGGAATCCTCAAGGCCAAAGAAGAAGAGAAAGATCAAAGAACACATTACGCTGAGAAATGGAGAGAGAGTCAGGAGAAGAATGAACAAAAATTGGATAGAACTAGAAAAGAAGGCCCAGGACAGAGTGGGTTAGAGAATGTTGATCGAAGGCTTACGCTCCATTGGGAGTAACAAGCGTAAGGATAGTTAATTGGACACAGATTGTTTGGTCTATATTGTTTATTGAATTTCACAAGCCAAATGGCAATATATGACAATCAATTAGTTGAATGAGTTGATATAACTCTTAGAATGAATGTTCAGCAGTTGAAAGTCATAAATTCAAAGGACATGCTTGGAAGTACCGCTCTTTAATAATTTCTATCTGTAATATTCAAAGAACTGATGTTGTTTCTAGATAAGATATTAATCTGAGTTAGCCAATGTTGACCAGTCAGAGATGTTGCAGCTAGGGTTGACAGTAGAATAAAGTATAACTCATTGAAGGGTGACGAATATAAGCCAGAACGAACATAAGATCTATAGATTCCTGTCAAATGGTCTACTTTATGAAAAGCTCTAGATTAAATGGATACACTTATTAGCCTTGACATATACAACAACCATGTACATATTTATCACAAAACGGTTGGGGTTTCTGACCCCATGCCCAACTCTCCTCCTTTACCCGGACTTTAAACCAGCAATAATCCTAGAAGAGCTACAGGCGGAAACAAGTGGGAAGAATGATTCAAGACAGAGTTCGATGAAGAATGCTGGTAAGTGGCCTATGCTTCACCACGATGGGCAACAGGATTAAATAAGTATTTCATACTGGAAACAATTTTTAAATAAATCAAAAATGAACGTGAATACATATATATATGACTAACCTCAGCCGCTTGTCTACAATATTTCACATCACGATCAGCATGTAATTGAAGTATATGCATTAGAAAATCACGTACAGTTTGATGTCCAAGTTGTATTTTTTCAGCTTTTAAACATCTTTCAATAATATTTTGTACAGTAGAGTTATAGTGTTCAGTATTTGAACAACTGTTATTATAATCAGTAGAATTGCTTAAATCACCATTGATTACGAATAGAATTCTTAGAACATGTAATCTTATCTGGGTAAACAAGGTAAGTTATTAAAAATATGTAATAAGGATGAAAAATATTTCTTTCAAAAAATAATAAGTAATTCATTCGTGTAAAAAGTCCTTAAGTGCCCAAGTACGGCGGAGGATAGAGAGAGTCAGCTCTTCCTCACAAAGTGCTAAGCGTATACAGCCACTGACAATGAAGTCATACCCAGTGCCTTCTCGTAACACGGATGTAGTTTATGAAATTGAGAGAATGAAAAGCGAATGTCTGGCACTTTAACCGAGTTGAAGGATCCAGCCAGAGGAGTAGAAAATCCTTGATTCCAAACCGATGGTAATAATAGGATCCAAGATCCTAAGTAAAAAAAATGGAATTGTTAGTCACCTGCTAGCATGGAATTGCATGTCCTGACATCGCTCCACTGCCTTGTAAATCAGACCTTTAGGCCAAAGGCTCCGTATGTAACACCTTAAGAAAACCACCTGTTTCGGTTTAGGCATCCGTACAGTATCCCAACCTTCACATAAATCGAAGGATTTATGTGGCGCATATCTGTTTAGTGCCTTCTTGTACCAATATTTATATGTCTACAGAACTAAATAAACAAAATGAAACAAACCCCCCCCCACATATGATATAACAATTTACCTGATGACTAGGAGAGATTAACAACGGTAATAAATTTCCATGTAGAATATCTCGATGATTGATTAAATATTGTTGATAATCATTATTAGAAATCAATACATGAATAAGGATATCAATAATACGTAAAATGATACAACAATATTCTGGATATAAATTATGATAAGATCTAAAAAACAGAAAAATTATAATGAACATAGAAAATTATTAACAAACATAAAACAGTTACATTAAATCAATACCAAATATCGAATCAATAACCATAGCAACAACAATCATAAGAAGTAATAAATAATAAAAGAAAATAGAATATAGATTATATTGTATAACAGTGTTGTTTAGAACGTTTAAATGACAGATTATGCTTGAATGAATACAGATTGGAATCTTTAATGGAGTAATAGAAGTTAATTATATCTATTAAAATATCTAAATCATATTGGGTTATCAATCAGTCAGTAAGTAAATATAACAACATAGAACTTTGTATATAAGTACACTAGTTCAAGTTGAAATAGCATATTTGTACAAAGATAAAAGTGTCGATTGAAATCCCGCAGTGGTAGAACTAATAAAACTATAAGGATTAATTGAAAAGACTAGGGTTTGAAAATGTTATACACCATAAACCGTACACAATATTGAAATGTATAACACTTGTGTTGATATAAGTAGTATAAAACACAGGATATAAGTAGAATACAAGGCAGCCGAAGATATGAAAGATGGTAGAGGAAAGAACATGAATACAAACACTCTCAGAACATGTCAACCCTCAATGATGGACTGCCACAGTCACAGGCAGTAAGAGGCAAGGGTAACACTCAATATTGCAGCAACCGAATTCCGATAGACAATAATATCTACCCGAGAGTGCAGCTGCGTTAACTGCCTGCACACAAACCAACACCATCACATATCCACCACAATCCATACACAAACAATCAATATCGCTGAGCTCCAACCCGAAAACAGAGATCACACTCTGTCGGTGTGATACACAGCTCTACATTTATGCCCAGTACACAATGTATTATGGGCAACAACTGACATCACTACCAACACAAACACTCGCCATATTCATTCAACCACAATCACAAACCTTTCACAAACACACTACAACAGACCGACACACACATACACACACACACACCTAATAAACATAAACACACAAACAACCAACAACACTATTGTCACAAATGCAAATACCACAATTCATATTTAACATGAATACAAACACTCTCAGAACATGTCAACCCTCAATGATGGACTGCCACAGTCACAGGCAGTAAGAGGCAAGGGTAACACTCAATATTGCAGCAACCGAATTCCGATAGACAATAATATCTACCCGAGAGTGCAGCTGCGTTAACTGTCTGCACACAAACCAACACCATCACATATCCACCACAATCCATACACAAACAATCAATATCGCTGAGCTCCAACCCGAAAACAGAGATCACACTCTGTCGGTGTGATACACAGCTCTACATTTATGCCCAGTACACAATGTATTATGGGCAACAACTGACATCACTACCAACACAAACACTCGCCATATTCATTCAACCACAATCACAAACCTTTCACAAACACACTACAACAGACCGACACACACATACACACACACACACCTAATAAACATAAACACACAAACAACCAACAACACTATTGTCACAAATGCAAATACCACAATTCATATTTAACATGAATACAAACACTCTCAGAACATGTCAACCCTCAATGATGGACTGCCACAGTCACAGGCAGTAAGAGGCAAGGGTAACACTCAATATTGCAGCAACCGAATTCCGATAGACAATAATATCTGCCCGAGAGTGCAGCTGCGTTAACTGCCTGCACACAAACCAACACCATCACATATCCACCACAATCCATACACAAACAATCAATATCGCTGAGCTCCAACCCGAAAACAGAGATCACACTCTGTCGGTGTGATACACAGCTCTACATTTATGCCCAGTACACAATGTATTATGGGCAACAACTGACATCACTACCAACACAAACACTCGCCATATTCATTCAACCACAATCACAAACCTTTCACAAACACACTACAACAGACCGACACACACATACACACACACACACACCTAATTAACATAAACACACAAACAACCAACAACACTATTGTCACAAATGCAAATACCACAATTCATATTTAACATGAATACAAACACTCTCAGAACATGTCAACCCTCAATGATGGACTGCCACAGTCACAGGCAGTAAGAGGCAAGGGTAACACTCAATATTGCAGCAACCGAATTCCGATAGACAATAATATCTAGCCCGAGAGTGCAGCTGCGTTAACTGCCTGCACACAAACCAACACCATCACATATCCACCACAATCCATACACAAACAATCAATATCGCTGAGCTCCAACCCGAAAACAGAGATCACACTCTGTCGGTGTGATACACAGCTCTACATTTATGCCCAGTACACAATGTATTATGGGCAACAACTGACATCACTACCAACACAAACACTCGCCATATTCATTCAACCACAATCACAAACCTTTCACAAACACACTACAACAGACCGACACACACATACACACACACACACCTAATTAACATAAACACACAAACAACCAACAACACTATTGTCACAAATGCAAATACCACAATTCATATTTAACATGAATACAAACACTCTCAGAACATGTCAACCCTCAATGATGGACTGCCACAGTCACAGGCAGTAAGAGGCAAGGGTAACACTCAATATTGCAGCAACCGAATTCCGATAGACAATAATATCTACCCGAGAGTGCAGCTGCGTTAACTGCCTGCACACAAACCAACACCATCACATATCCACCACAATCCATACACAAACAATCAATATCGCTGAGCTCCAACCCGAAAACAGAGATCACACTCTGTCGGTGTGATACACAGCTCTACATTTATGCCCAGTACACAATGTATTATGGGCAACAACTGACATCACTACCAACACAAACACTCGCCATATTCATTCAACCACAATCACAAACCTTTCACAAACACACTACAACAGACCGACACACACATACACACACACACACCTAATTAACATAAACACACAAACAACCAACAACACTATTGTCACAAATGCAAATACCACAATTCATATTTAACATGAATACAAACACTCTCAGAACATGTCAACCCTCAATGATGGACTGCCACAGTCACAGGCAGTAAGAGGCAAGGGTAACACTCAATATTGCAGCAACCGAATTCCGATAGACAATAATATCTACCCGAGAGTGCAGCTGCGTTAACTGTCTGCACACAAACCAACACCATCACATATCCACCACAATCCATACACAAACAATCAATATCGCTGAGCTCCAACCCGAAAACAGAGATCACACTCTGTCGGTGTGATACACAGCTCTACATTTATGCCCAGTACACAATGTATTATGGGCAACAACTGACATCACTACCAACACAAACACTCGCCATATTCATTCAACCACAATCACAAACCTTTCACAAACACACTACAACAGACCGACACACACATACACACACACACACCTAATAAACATAAACACACAAACAACCAACAACACTATTGTCACAAATGCAAATACCACAATTCATATTTAACATGAATACAAACACTCTCAGAACATGTCAACCCTCAATGATGGACTGCCACAGTCACAGGCAGTAAGAGGCAAGGGTAACACTCAATATTGCAGCAACCGAATTCCGATAGACAATAATATCTGCCCGAGAGTGCAGCTGCGTTAACTGTCTGCACACAAACCAACACCATCACATATCCACCACAATCCATACACAAACAATCAATATCGCTGAGCTCCAACCCGAAAACAGAGATCACACTCTGTCGGTGTGATACACAGCTCTACATTTATGCCCAGTACACAATGTATTATGGGCAACAACTGACATCACTACCAACACAAACACTCGCCATATTCATTCAACCACAATCACAAACCTTTCACAAACACACTACAACAGACCGACACACACATACACACACACACACCTAATAAACATAAACACACAAACAACCAACAACACTATTGTCACAAATGCAAATACCACAATTCATATTTAACATGAATACAAACACTCTCAGAACATGTCAACCCTCAATGATGGACTGCCACAGTCACAGGCAGTAAGAGGCAAGGGTAACACTCAATATTGCAGCAACCGAATTCCGATAGACAATAATATCTACCCGAGAGTGCAGCTGCGTTAACTGTCTGCACACAAACCAACACCATCACATATCCACCACAATCCATACACAAACAATCAATATCGCTGAGCTCCAACCCGAAAACAGAGATCACACTCTGTCGGTGTGATACACAGCTCTACATTTATGCCCAGTACACAATGTATTATGGGCAACAACTGACATCACTACCAACACAAACACTCGCCATATTCATTCAACCACAATCACAAACCTTTCACAAACACACTACAACAGACCGACACACACATACACACACACACACCTAATTAAACATAAACACACAAACAACCAACAACACTATTGTCACAAATGCAAATACCACAATTCATATTTAACATGAATACAAACACTCTCAGAACATGTCAACCCTCAATGATGGACTGCCACAGTCACAGGCAGTAAGAGGCAAGGGTAACACTCAATATTGCAGCAACCGAATTCCGATAGACAATAATATCTACCCGAGAGTGCAGCTGCGTTAACTGTCTGCACACAAACCAACACCATCACATATCCACCACAATCCATACACAAACAATCAATATCGCTGAGCTCCAACCCGAAAACAGAGATCACACTCTGTCGGTGTGATACACAGCTCTACATTTATGCCCAGTACACAATGTATTATGGGCAACAACTGACATCACTACCAACACAAACACTCGCCATATTCATTCAACCACAATCACAAACCTTTCACAAACACACTACAACAGACCGACACACACATACACACACACACACCTAATTAACATAAACACACAAACAACCAACAACACTATTGTCACAAATGCAAATACCACAATTCATATTTAACATGAATACAAACACTCTCAGAACATGTCAACCCTCAATGATGGACTGCCACAGTCACAGGCAGTAAG